CTTGTGTGCGGACCTCAAAATAGCAACCTCAAGAATTTTTAGATATTGAATTCCTTATGCTATATTCTCCAAATAATTACCTCCAAACATCCCTAGCGAGATCAAGAACAACAATTTCTAGTTATTGGTCAATAAATCAACAACTCCTAGAGTCGGTTAAAATGTCCCTTCAATGAAATCAATGGCGACCCATTAAAGAAGAAGCATAAATTGAAGATTTACTATAAGAAATTGCCCGACTCAAAGTACGATTGTCAAGGATTGAATGAAAAAAAAAACTTGAGCTCCCTTGGTCGAGATCTTAATGGTGTCCAGGAAAGTATGCTGCCACAACGGCTTCAAGATCTCTAGTTCCAACTACATCCTTAAGAATTGACGACGACGACGAGGGTATCTCTGAGGATCAGATCTTTTCCACTTACAAAGAAGTGTTTGAAAGATCACCTCGTCAGTCTTCCACCCCACTCTTGATCGAGTCCAACTTCAAAGAATTTGAAGATCCGTTGCAAAATTTCTCGTCTTTACCTATCTATGATGAACCCATATATGACGAGTATGATGACAACACGTTCTTTGGAGTTCATGGTCTTGATAAGCCCATGTCTGATGAGGAAAAAAAACAAACGATTGCAACTTCAAGAATAATGTGACTCCATTTCATTTCCTAAAGCATTTCCTCAAATTGCATTTATGGATGTTGTGATTCTAAATAAAGTTGCCTTGTTTGTTCTCGAAAATAAAGACAAAGATTTGATCACATATGGTTTGGAAGATTTACAAATAGAAATTCTCAGCATTAACTCCATGAATAGTGTCAATCAAGTTGTTCGTTGCCAAATTGATTTACATGAGATATAGGACCAAAAGCCTGTGGTGCTAATCATTTGGCTCATTTGGAGGCTTTATTGGAAAATATTAAAATAACTCATGTTGGCAGCCATCATGACTACAGTGTGCAAACTCTATGCATTTATGAAGAGAAGAAAAGAGAAAGAATAAAACCCTTCAGTTCATTAACAAGTTCCATCGACTCCAACTCATGCTGAAGTATCTCCTAGACGGGGAGAATGACACCGGGTGGAAATATCCAAACTGGTTTAGCCAACCAAATCCACCTCCTTATGGTGGCCAATAGAACGTCTTCCTATGAGCCTGAAGTTCCTCCTACCCCAGTAGTATGACGTTGGAGCTGAGCTTAAATCCGGTTTAACTTCATGACAGTTTAATTCCCTTTAGTTGTTTGTATGGCTACATATGATTATGTTGTGTGTAGCCTAATATGTTGTTACATTTGTCTATAAAAAAAAATAGGAATACTTGTAATAAAGAGAAAGGTTGAAATGAATAATATTTGAGTCTTGGATTCCTTTGAGAATTGTTCTGTATCCTGACGGACGGTCAGGTGGTGGTTCTTATCTCTTTCATGTATCCTAAGAGTGATTCTTAGGTGGTGGATCATTCTTCTAAGAAGTTCTTGGAGTGGTGTCCGAGATCGTCACCGGATCGTCAACGTGGATTGGTCGAGCCCCTTCGGACTGGTGTCAATAAGATGATGCTTGAAGGATTTCCAAGAACATATGATAGACCAAAGCTCGAAGGCCTAAAGGAGAATTCTATTCATCAATAATGCCTTTCTTACTACAATGCATACATATATAAATATCTATAGAATCTTCTAGCTATAAAAGCTTCTAACAAACTATAGTAAGCTAGTACTAAGGAGCACTTAAGCTATGATGTTCCACATCATTCTCCCATTGCGTCAAAAAGCTTGACTCCGTCGAAGCGTGTCATTTGGGAGGGTGTACATTATAATCAGTGCTCTTGTGTCAAAGATTTTGGGTCTTTGATGAACGCCCATAAGCTCATTTTGAGGAGCCCAAGCCAACATCTCTTGTTCACCGATGCATCACAATATGTTTCGAACCATTTCAAAGGCTATTGTGCTTGCCCAACAAAATCCCCTTGCATCCATTTGACAAGATAAGTACCTTTGATAGAGTTCAACTTCATTTCCTTGCTCCCATAAGCAGAGCCTGACAGCTGCCCATTTACAAAAACATGTAATGCATGACCAGCATACTATATGATGATAACAAGAGGTTGACCGCTACTCAGAAACCTTTCAATTGAATTTGCATCAACAATTGTAATGTACAAAAGATAATCATTAATGTCTCTAGACAAATTTATTGGCTCTAGTATACTAGTTCTTGTAAGAAGGGAATTAACTGTCGACATTGAAGCAATTTTCTCATCATGCCTTTCCCGCATAAGTTGTTCATTACTAGAGTCTAACATTTGCATTTATGATGTTTGAATGCAAACTTTTACGATGTTGAAGACCATGTTTCTGCAATCAGGAAGGATGCTAACTGACCAAGGTAGCAAAGCAACATTCTTTGGAGAAGGATTTCCCGGTGGAGGCGGATGGGGGAAGGAAGGGGGTTGGTTCTTGTACTGGCGGTTGGCAACCAAAACAACTTCATTCTTTATTTCTACAAATCCTTATGCTGAAGTTCTTGAAAGTTGTTTTAAAGCAATCAGTTGTCCATCTTCTAGTAATCCCTTATAGACTGTCCCAATAAATTTGGGGGCAGACCCTTCATGGACATTATGTCGAACAACTTGGGGGCATTTTGTTAGATAGACTTTTTAGGTCAAATTCAGACCAGGCATTTTCACACATGCAGGGAAAACGTTTGCAATACCACTTCAAACGGCTTTGCCACATGCATCAAAATCATTTGTATTTATTTTAGCAATGCTAAGGACATGAAGATCTTCACATTCCTTCATAAAGTGGGCCTTATATGAGATTGCATTGATTCGAGAAAGGTAAGACATAAGCATGTCGTGATAGTCTTCTCTCGACCCAAAGAGCCTGCTCCCATTCAGTGCTTGTTCACTTGTGAGGCCGTCAAGATTTTTCTCTAAATGCATGTTTATGATCTTCCTCAAGAAATTCAAGGTAGTCGTGCCCTGTCCATCTCCACAAAAAGCCAAAGTATTCCATTTGAGCCACCTAGTGAAGGGCTTCGCGGCGTCAATCACGGTCGACAGCCCTTCTTCTTTGGCGGCTATGTTCGTGAAGATAGTGGGGCGGCGGATATCGCCATTGGAGTGGAGGATAGTCGTCTTCTTCGTCATTGACCGTCCATCTCCTTCGGCGTCGCTCATCATCGACCACCCATCTCCTTCAACAGCGATCTTCGTCGACTGCCCATCTCCTTCGGTGGCGATCTACGTCAACCGCCCATTTTATTTGGCTTCAATCGTCATTGACAGCCCACCTTCTGCAGGCCATCGTTCTTCACAAGCTCCGAGCTCTGATATAAACTGATGTGGGGAGATCGTTGTTGGATCATTGGAAGAAGATGATGCTTGAAGGATTCCCAAGAACAAAGGATAGACTAAATGTCAAAGGCTTAAAGGATAATTCTATTAATCAATAATGCATTTCCTACTACAATACATACATATATAAACTACCTATAGAATCTTCTAGAAAAGCTTCTAACAAACTATAGTAAACTAATCCTAAGGAACACTTAAGCTATGATGTTCCATATCATAGCTTTTCAAAAAAAAAAAAAAGGTGTGAACCACATTAAAACTTCCCTCAATCAAATGATACTAAATAATTCCATTAATTTGACCATAGCTTTGATTTAACCTTTCCAGTAGGCTCCTTTTCTATTTCATTGTTTCTAACGTTTCTCATAGAATTCTATAGCTCACCTTCAGATCCCACACGCTTCTTATTTTTCTCTCTCATAATTCAAGTCTTCCTTTCTTCTCACTCCAAATCCTATAAGGATTAAGAAGGCTGCACACTGCTCATCTTGACCTGTTGGTTGAGAGCTTATACTTCTAACTAAGAGGTCTTGGATTCATACGTTGTATGTGTGAGTTTGTCTTAGACCGCCTAAATGTCCCAAAAAAATAAAAAAGGCTGCAAGAGCGCAGGTGATGACTCAAGGATAATCCCGTGTCTTATTTTTTGTTCATACATACACAACTTATTTATGTTGTGGGTCCATGCAATTTAATACATCAGAGTACGGTCCCAATGGTCGTCCAATTAAATCTAGTCGGCGATACGTACCATATTGGATCACCCAAACTGAATTGGGTAATTAATGATTCGGCAAAAAGCTACTTTCCCATATATGTATTGTCGCCTATATGTAGGACTAGTCGGCCAACTGTAAAAGATCTTATCTCCTTTGACCGTGCAAATGAAAAATAAAAATCCTATCCACCAGTTGTGAAGATTTGTATTCAAGTCAGGATATCGTCGTTTAGGGTTTAGTATACTAAATCCATTTATATTGAAAGTCTCTTGGCTAATTAGATTCATCATTATTATCCGTTACGTACATCACGGATGCATGCTGGTTCTCCAATGCTTTTTAAATTTGAATTGCAAAGCATTATAGTTGCCTTGTAATTACAAAGCATTAATATAGTGCTCCAAAGCTATTTATATTTGAACAAGAAAGGTCAAAGTCGGGAAACTAAATAAATAAAAGCCCCACAGGCCACTGAAAGTTACGAGATAATTATGGTGAAGAAAAATTATCCTGGAAATAATGCATCGAATCAAATATACAGCAAAAATTAATTAGTCAATGATTGTATACATAGAAAATTTATCCGACATAATATGGGATTACCGGGTGCTGTACATACATAATGCAAGAAGTAAATTAAAACAAGAGGCAAAGCTCCCGGTTTTGACCCACACAGTTGTTGTTCAAATTAAGACTCAGCTCCCGCCCACAGGAATTACGGCCGTTTTACTTCCTCTTTGCGAAGAATAGGATGAAATCATATATATTTTTTCTCTTTTTCCTGTCTATAAAATAGATACAGAAGCAGACAGAGCGGCACGCATCCCCAAGAAAGCGAGTTAGTTCCCGTCAATTAATTAAGCTATTAACAGCTTCTCCATAATTCATCCTCTTCTTTATATATATTACTACGCCAGATCGATCGACATGGCTCGTTGGATGAAACCAGAGGTCGATTAATTTGCTAATTTGTTTCTTCTATATGTCTCTCCTTGTGTCACTTGTCTGTGTTATTCGACATATAATTAATTGTGACATCGATCGATCGATCGTATGTGGTCTCATGCAGGTGTACCCGCTGCTGGCAGCCATGACGTTTGTGACAAGCATGTGCGTCTTTCAGATCACCAGGAATGTTCTCATGAATCCTGATGTCAGGTAATTTATTTGATTCATGCATCATCATTTTCAATTATCACCATCATCTTCTGCATGCTTTCCCTACAAATTCCTTCTTAAACTAACTTATCTTATATATATGTGAGTTACAGAATTAAGAAAAGCAACCGAGCCTCAGCTGTTTTGGAGAATGCAGAGGAAGGCTACAAGTACAGCCAACATGGTTTTCGCAAGTTTCTTAGCGATCGCACACCTCAAGTCTTTCCTGCACTCAATAGTTTCTTCTCAAAGACTGACAACTGAATGATGCTGAACCTTATACTAATTACAAACAATTGTTAAGAAGGATAAAATTTTTCGGTCAATTTTCACTTTCCTTTTATTTGTTTCAAACCTTTCATGTTATAGATTTTTGTACAGATAAATATCCACGATGTCAATGCTTACATGTTTGTATCTACTAAATAAATGGAATATGGTTGTTGACTTCATGTTGGTTCTGCTACATTGAATGACTTGCAACATCAGAAAACAGAATTTAAGAACAAAATTCAAATAATTTGATAATCATTCTACTAATTGAAATTTAAACAGGGTATTGATCTAATTGGTTTCCAAATAAAAATATGATTGGGCCCAAATTAATAACCGGCATTGGTGGGCACAACAATTAATATTGCAAATTAATTTATTAATTAATTTGATAGGAATGCCTTCCTTGTGTATCTACCAATTGAACCATGGTAGTTTTACAAATTTATAGAAATATGATGAAAGTAGTATAAAGTAAATTAACAGCTAGCTCGCTGATCACAAACCCAAGAGATCAATATGCAATACGCGCGGCAGTAGTGGTTTATTATAAATATCAAGCGAGAAGCCAGAAATCCTTGTGCTTCCTCGTGGTAATCAAGTATCCCCCACCAGCCCTCCTCCCTCGCCTCCTCACTCCCACCGCCATGCAACTCGCATTCTTTATGCAGTAATCCACCACCGCTTTGCTACCTTTACCACTACCACGGCCCCGCCACACCATCAGCAACCTCCACATCACCATCATCGGCCTCCTCTTCCTGCTCCCTAGCACCAAAAGCGCCGCTCCCTGTTTCTTTGCCGCCTCCACTATCACTGGTCCCTTGTCCTTCCCTTCCACCAAGCATATCTCCACTTTCACCTATATATAATTAAGAAGTTGATATATTCACATGTTCATATATATTCAAGTAGCTAGCCAAATTTTGAAAAAAAAAAAGAAAAAAGTCGATCGATCGATTAATGTGCGCATGCATGCCTCGGGTTTCTTCTGCTGTGAAATCCTCTTCATGGCACACAAGAGATCGTAGCTTCTAGGGTCTTTCATCTCGTCTCCGTCGACGGCGTGGGAGACATTAATATTAATGTTGGATGATGATGATGAGGAGGAGGAGGATGGCTTGACAACGTTGAGGAGGAGAATGGTGTCTTGGCTCTGAGCGGTGTGTGAGAGCGCCCATTGCAATGCAACTTTTGACTCTCTACTCGAGTCTACGACGATCATGATCTTCCTGCCTAGCACCTGCTGCTTCCCTCCGTCAGCTTCCACTGATGAATTGTCTTCTATATCATCGGCGGCCTCCACGGTGCTTGAGATGGGGGTTGATTTCATGGTCGGTGACCTCGGCGCTCCTCGACTCAGCCTGAAGCTTGGCAACTTGCCGCTGCTAATGCTCCTCCCAATCATGCCCATCCTCGCTTAATTAATCAATTCACCGCTACTACTGCACATCTTTTGCGCATATGGCTTTATTTTATAGGCCGTCAAGTACTACAAATTGATTCATTTTGATAATCTATGATGTATACAATTAACAAGATCAAGTAGTAGCTCGTACTGGAACACGTACGCACGTTTTCAAGATATATATATATATATACTATTAATTAATGCGCGCTGTTAGCTGGTAGCTGCTAGAGCTTAATTCATATATTCCATCAAATTCTTCTCTTATATTCTCTATCGATCGATTGATTGATTGATCAACAGCTAGCTATGTATTGTATTTTTAATTTGTTTATAACTGGATATACAATTCTTAGTCTCTAAGACGTGCACTGCATCATTCAGTTAGTTGGGCTCTTCATAATGTAATGCTCCGCCTACCAATTGTTTATGCTGCTTGCGCATTGGACTGAGTGAATGAGCGCATCATTAATAATTATTAATACAAAGAGAAGGAATAAACTGGCTTCACAATCCCCAAAATTTATATGATTGGTTTTGGTTAAAAATTAATCTGGCCTGATTATATGTACAATTATTTAGTTGAAAATATTAATTTAATCCATCTTCTTATTTAATTCTGAGGGCTTGAAGTCGGCTCCTTCATTTCTTGGTGCTCTCTTGAGTGTTTCTTCAATTCGTTGGTCCCTCCTGAGAATTTTAGAATTTTTATTCGTTTGCTGGTTTATTCTAGTGATTGAGGCTCGATCCTACTTCTTTAGCTATATCTAATTTCTTTTGTTCTCTAGCTTGGTGTTGGTAGTACATCTTTATCCTTTATCTAGGGGTTTTCCTAGCTAGATAGTGACAGAGCATCTATGCGTATTCAGCTTCTAGGCATACTCATATAAATAATATTACTGCTTTACCCTGTATCAAACCTTTATAAATACTTCTGTACTCAGTATTCAATAATAAGATTTTTCCATTTTACTTCTCCAAAATTACAGCTTCTCTCGGCTTGCTTTATTCGCTCAAGAAGATCTGTTCCTCTATCATGGTATCAAGAGCCTAATGGGGGATCAAGATTCGATTTCTTCACTCCCTCCCTCCTCTTCTCTCGCCGGAACCGCCAATGCTGAGATTTCTATTCCGGCATCGCTGAAGTTCCTGGTTTCTAACATCAAGAATCTGATTCCTCATCCTCTAACCTCTGAAAATTATGCGGTATGGAGGATCCAAATCCTTCAACAGTTCACTGCAACTGGTTACGCCGGCCATCTTTCCGGCAGCTCATCTTTACCGCCCGTAGACGATACTTCCGCTCACACAAATTGGATTCTCGTGGATAGCACCCTTCTTTCGGCCTTATTCTCCACGATCTCTCCTTCTCTTCTACCATATGTCATCACGGCGACGACCGCTCACGACGTCTGGACGACTCTCGAGCGCCGCTTACAACCGTCGAGCCGATCTCGTGTGATGCAGCTCAAGAATGAGCTTCATCATATTCAAATGAAGGATTTAACAATGCAACAGTATCTTTCACAGATCAAGAATATCGTTGACAGCATTGCTGCCTCCGGCTCCAAGGTAGATCCGGAAGATATCATCCTATACATATTAAACGATCTTCCTCCTACCTACAATTCCTTCAAAACTTCGATTCGCACCTCTCCGATACCGGCGAACCTCGACAATCTTTATTCACTCTTGTGCAATGAAGAAATTCACATTAATCAGGATGCGGTCAAAGATCAACTCGTCACCGCGCCGGCTCTATACGCGGCGCCTAACAACCCTCCTCGCAACCGCAATTACAAACGTTCAAGCAAGAACAAGAACATTAACTATACAACCTCGGTCAGCACTCCGGCGAACAATACAAACTCCGCAAACGGCAATACGCGTCCGATTTGCCAAATCTGTGGCAAAACAGGTCACATTGCCATCAACTGTTGGTATCGCTGTGACCTGAAGTATGCTCCCACAACAACTCGTAACCCGAGAGCCATGTTCACCCAACCATCCTCTTATCCAACTCAGGATTGGATTCTGGACACAGGGGCCTCATCTCATCTGACCCCGGACAGTTCAAATCTTCAAGCACCCTCCGCGTATTCAGGTCAAGATTCAATCTCAGTTGCCAATAGATCCTCTGTTCCAATCCAACACTCGGGTCATGGCTTGCTTCCTTTACCCGACAATGCGCGTAAGCTATACTTACGAAATTTGTTGCACGTACCTGAACTAACACACAATCTTCTCTCTGTGTCAAAATTAACTGCCGATAATTCTCTATATATCACATTTCATGCTAATGGTTTTGAAATGAAAGATTCTCAGGATCATCGTCTTCTTCTCAGTGGACGTCTTAGCAACGGTCTTTATCAAATTCGCCAACTGACGATTACATCTCAAACAGCCTTTCACACTAAGAACACCTCCCCGCATCTCTGGCACGCAAGGCTTGGTCATCCGAACAAGAGGACTTTACAGTCTCTTTCCCGCAACCTACCTTTTACGATTGATAGCTCTTTTCTTTTGCACTGTAATTCTTGTAATACGGCCAAGAGCCATAGAATTCCGTTTAATAAAAATAGCTCGGTCACTTCGGCTCCCTTTGATCTCATCCATTCGGACGTATGGGGACCGTCTCATTTTTCTTCTACTAACGGTTTTAGATACTATGTCGTTTTCATTGACAATTACTCCAGGTATTCCTGGCTTTACTTCATGCATAACAAAAATGAGACGCTATCCAAATTTCAAGCATTTTGTGCTCTAATCAGTAATCAATTTGGAAAAACACCAAAATCTTTTCAATCTGATGGCGGCGGTGAGTTCATTAACCGGTTGTTTATACATTCAAAATTCACATTTCGCGCCATGTGGTTTTTCATGAGGATACCTTCCCATTTAAAACCTCAAATCATACATCCTTACCTAACGCACATACTCTCAATTCTCCGCCGCTCATTCTTGTCCCAGCATCAACGATTACTCACAACACTCAGTCCAGCAAGGCAATTTCTACACCCTCTCAGTCTTCCTGTACCACTCAACCCATTCACTCTTCGCCTGAGATCAGCACTACAACCAACCCGTCTTCGGAACCTGTTGTTCATCGGTCCAGACCGGCACATGCTCCTCATCCAATGAAAACTGTCTCGAAATCAGGAATACAGAAGCCGAATCCCATCTACTCCCTGTCCACTTCTACTTCAGATGATCAGGTACCTATTTCCTACAAACAGGCCATCAAACACTCACAGTGGGGTGCTGCCATGGCAGAGGAAATCCAAGCATTACAACGTCAACATACGTGGTCTCTTGTCTCACCACCACCTAACAAATCTGTGCTGGGTTGCAAGTGGACGTTTAAGATCAAACGACTACCTTCAGGACAGGTCGATCAGTATAAGGCGAGACTAGTGGCACTTGGAAATAGACAACAATTTGGCGAAAACTACACAAAGACATTCAGTGCAGTCGCGAAAATGCCGACCATTCGCTTGCTTCTTACACTCGCTCTGAACAGGAAATGGAACATTCTCCAACTCGATATATCCAATGCCTTTCTACACGGGGATCTAACCGAGGATATCTATATGAAACAACCGCAGGGATTTATCGATTCCAACCATCCAACAGCGGTTTGCAAACTACACAAATCACTATATGGCCTTAAACAAGCGCCAAGACAGTGGTTTCACAAGCTTACCAACTTTCTTCAAACTCGCGGATTTCGGTTTAGCCGCTCTGATCCTTCTCTACTCATTTACACTCACGATAACATTCAAATTTACTTTCTTACCTATGTTGATGATATCATTCTTACAGGAAATAATCACAAGGCAATTTAGTCTCTTCTACAGGAACTCAACTCCACGTTCGCTCTCAAACAACTAGGACAAATTAATCTCTTCCTCGGGATTCAAGTCCAGACTCACTCGCAAGGTCTATTCCTCACACAAGCTCATTACGCGGCAAAGCTGCTGAAATCGGTTGGAATGACGGAGTGCAAGAGTGCTCCCACGCCAATGGCTTCCATCTCCAGTTCCAAACACAACACGTCACAGCCCTTCTCTGACCCGTCTCTCTACCGCAGACTGGCCGGATCGCTACAGTACTTATCGATCACTCGACCAGATATTGCATTTGCAACAAATAGAGTTTGCCAACATATGCAAAATCCCACGGTTCAACACTACAAGGAGCTCAAACGCATTCTTCGCTACATCAATGGAACACTCTCCTTCGGGTTGCCGATTGTCACAAGTGATCTTCACATTCACTCGTATACTGATGCAGACTGGGCGTCCGACAACACAGACAGAAAATCGACTTCCGGTTTCGTCAACTTTCTCGGACCAAACTTGATATCTTGGACAGTTAAGAAGCAAGTCACGGTAGCAAAATCCTCCACAGAAGCTGAGTATAGATCCCTATCGGCTGATATTTCGGAAGTCATTTGGCTAAGACGCCTCGCTGCGGAACTTCAAATAGAGCAGAAAACTCCAACTCCGGTATACTGTGACAACATCTCAGCAATCGCCATAGCCAAAAATCCTGTCTTTCATGCCCGGACAAAGCATATCGAAATTGACTATCAATTTATCCGACAACACATATCATCCGGTGACATTCAAATTCAACATATCTCGTCTCAGCATCAGATTGCCGATATCCTCACAAAGCCACTATCGGTTTCTCGTTTCAACGAGCTCAGACACAAGTTAACCATTCAATCAAATGAATGCTTCACTTGAGGGGGGCTGACAGAGCATCTATGCGTATTCAGCTTCTAGGCATACTCATATAAATAATATTACTGCTTTACCCTGTATCAAACCTTTATAAATACTTCTGTACTTAGTATTCAATAATAAGATTTTTCCATTTTACTTCTCCAAAATTACAGCTTCTCTCGGCTTGCTTTATTCGCTCAAGAAGATCTGTTCCTCTATCAGATAGAAGCTCGTACAGAGAAAATACCCGGTGGCTTTTCTTTAATTTAAAATTATAAGGTTGTTTTCTC